AATTTTAAAAATATAACTTAAAAATTTGCAATTTCCGCTTTAACTGTACGTCCGATTCTTAGCATTATATATTTACTAAAAGCCATTACCAGTAATATTTAGACAACAGGCACTTATCCCACTCTTTCTCAGACTCATCACTTGGTCTTCCATAAAGGAGTTTAGCGGAGACACCACAATGACAATCGTAGGATTCTCCCTATCAAGTTTTCGTTGAGCAAACCATGGTAACAAGTGAAATATCACACTTTTTCCATCATAGCCTGTTGGCAGAATAGAGATACAATCTGGACAATCGCTCAGAGCTTTCAATTTCTGAAGCTGATTTTCTTTAAACAAAGGACAGCTTTACAACGAAAACTCTACAAAAGACGCATTTTGGGAACTTCTTTGTAAAAGCAGGTTTCCGACTGGGCTGTGACCTGCAGGCCGTAGCCATTCCTCTTGCCATCTTTATCGAAATTCGTTTATATTATTTGACATGTAGGGCGTTTGCCTGTCACACTAACGAAAACACTTGTGGTAGTATTCCGTCTTGGGGTCGCCCTGACAAAAACCGGCGTAGTGATGAGTGGTTTTGTAATCAGCTATCATATCTTGCCCTTCACAACGACTTTTCGCTGCGTTTTTAAACTCCCTTCCGGTTAGACCCTCAAACCTACCCATTGAATAGCACGCATCTGAAGCCTGGCAAAAAGGTACCTTTTCTTTCATTTCGGCCACGTGTCCCTAATCGTGCGCAATCGATCGTTGATTTGAACGTTTTGCTATAGCTCTTCTCTCAATGTCATATCGCATCCCTTCCGTCTGCTGGGTGTGCAGCGGCTGAGCCACTGTAGTTGTTTTCAGCCATCACCGCCATGCTTTCGAGCATAAGCTTGGCGGGTTCCTTGAAAGTCCAATCGCCATTGTGGTAATTACGTATAGTTATAAAAAAACCGTCAAATAGAGTCCTGCCGACTGTAGTTCATTTTTCATGGCTGTGGTCTGCAGGCCGTATCCATTAACCATGTCATTAATCATATTATGAGTTATTGAAAGTATTTTTCTGTAACAGACACTTTAGGTCTACATGATTACGTGAAAAGATAGCATTTTTTTTTTTAAAGTTCTCAGTCTAGTCCGCGACCCCACGAAAAGTGCTTGCGACCCAAGTTGGGTCGCGACCCAGAGGTTGGGAAACGCCGGTCTACATTACTCTTCTCCATTTTGTGCGTCTTTTGAATGAAGTGGAGTGCGGTTTATCTTGTTTGTAGCACTTCCTTTTCTCTCTTTCCTTCCTGCCTTGCAGCGCATCAGATGCTTGAAAAAAAAAAAGAATACCTCTGAGTGTCGCCCTTGTGGTCCAATAAATTCTCTCTGCCAATCCAGCAGCCTTTCTTATCCCACGGATGAGAATCAAGACAAGTTTTCCCCTGTAGGTATCACCCCTCGACAAAGGCCTTATTTGGGGGCGGGGTTAACGCGTGCGCGCTGGGCCATAGGGTCTGTCATTGAGTGGCGTGGTTGCGATTCCCCACTCATACGTGACAAGGAGTATGATCGCCTGTCAAACCTCGTGGGTTTTTTCCGGGTCCTCCAGTTTCCCCCGGTGCTAAAGGCCCCTATTGGCAAGCGAATTATTGAGATAAAATTGAGCCCTACGTTAGTCCAAAATGACCTATGTGCAACAACAGCTACTATTTATATCCTTTCGCCTGGAAATCAATATTGATTAAAACCCAATTAGTATTTTATCGTGGTTATTTGATTATCTTAGAGAATCATAGAATATGACTAATACCCTGATAAGGGTGTCGTCTATTGAAAGAGGGCAACTCTACATCGCTCGAATTTGTTACTGGTTATAGACGTTCTCCCCAATCATGTCTGGTGGGGTTTGGTTGGCCGAATGGTTTGCGCGTGCGCGTTGTATAATAAGGTCTGTCATTCGATCAGCTGGCGTGATTCCGATTCCCCGGTTGTACGTGACCAGGAGTAGAGTCGCCTGTGCAATCTCGTGGGTTTTTCTCGGGTCCGCCGGGGTCCTCTCACTACTAAAGACCCCTACGTTTAAGCGAATTATTTAAATAAAATTGAACCATATGTTAGTCCCCAAATGGTCTAGTCTGTGTGTGTGGGCGTTAAAGCCCACTTCCCTCTCAATCATGTCTGCCATCCAAGTCATGTAAGAGGATTGTTTACACATCCCAAGAGTGGTTGACGTGGATAAAAGTTTATCCAGGCTACCGGAAGTCGGATGTTTTTGAAGATGTATCGTATAACTCATTAACGTAAGTGCAAACAATAATAGATGTCCTTCATAATGGGTAAATATTAGTTTAGGCTTCCGAATTTCTGATGTTCGTGCAGCATGAAGTTGATAGCGATACAACAAAATTTATTAATTGTCCCCCGCCTTTCGAAGAAAGCAGGGGACTATTAAAATGGGTTCGTCCGTCTGTCTGTCTGTCCGTCTGTCTGTCCGTCTGTCTGTCCGTCACACTTTTTGGGACACAATAACTCTCTTCCTAATTGAGCTAGAATGTTCAAACTTGGTGTATGTGTTTATTAGGTCAATGCCTTGATGGAGTTCGAAGATGAGCATTTTCCGCTTAGGGTAAGCAGAGATAAGCAATTTGATTGGTTGATGCTTTGGGACACGATAACTCTCTTCCTAATTGGGCTAGAATGTTCAAACTTGGTGTATGTGTTGATTAGGTCAATGCCTTGATGGAGTTCGAAGATGAGCATTTTCCGCTTAGGGTAAGCAGAGATAAGCAATTTGATTGGTTGATGCTTTGGGACACGATAACTTTTAATTGAGCTAGAATGTTCAAACTTGGTGTATGTGTTTATTAGGTCAATGCCTTGATGGAGTTCGAAGATGAGCATTTTCCGCTTAGGGTAAGCAGAGATAAGCAATTTGATTGGTTGATACTTTGGGGCACGATAACTCTCTGCCTAATTGAGCTAGAATGTTCAAACTTGGTGTATGTGTTGATTAGGTCAATGCCTTGATGGAGTTCGAAGATGAGCATTTTCCGCTTAGGGTAAGCAGAGATAAGCAATTTGATTGGTTGATGCTTTGGGACACGATAACTTTAGTTCTAATTAAGTGAGATTGATGAAACTTGGTGTATAGTTTCATTACATCAATACCTTGACTAAGTTCAATCATGAGCATTTTCTACTCAGGCTAAGCAGAGCGATAAGCAATTTGATTGGTCGAGACATTGGAACACAATAATTCACATTCTAATTGATGTAGAATGTTCAAACTTGGTGTAGGCTTTCATTAGGTGAATGCCTTGATGGAGTTCAATGATGAACATTGTATGCTTACGGTAAGCAGAGATAAGCAATCTGATTGGTTGATGCTTTGGGGCATGATAACTTTGAGAGAGATGAAACTCCGAATATAGATTCATTATATCATTACCTTGACTAAGTTCGATGGTGAAAATTTTCTGCTAAGGCTAAGGAGCAATAAGCAATTTAATTGATTGGTCAAGACTTTGGAACATAATAACTCTGCTTTTAATTGAGGTAGAATGTTTAAACTTGATGTAGATGTTCATTAGGTGAATGTCTTGACTAAGTTCAATGATTAACATTTCGAGCTGAAGCTAAGCAGAGCTTATCAGTTTCATAATCTTGATTCTATTTGATAGACAGTGATGAAACTTAGTCTATAGTTTAACTGTTCGATACTTTTGAAAAAAATAAATGTTCTATTAATTAATACGTGTCATCTAATTATTTTGCTATTTCGGCGGGGGACATCAGCCTCACTGTTGGCTTGTTTGTAGAGCAAACAAAACATAATATAAGGGCGTTTTAACACCGGACAAACATCGTTTTGAATAACAGAAATATTCTCGGCTACTGTTTTATGTATCTAAAAGAAATATTAATTTTTAAAAAAATAATATGATTTGGTATTGACATACCAATAACAAATTCGTATTCAAAATAAATGAAATGATACCTCAATATTGGATTTGTGTTCTACTGCATCTATTCTAACAAAAAAGAATACTGCATTTAGCATGAGTGAACAGTTCGCGTAAGGGTCTTTAGCAGTGGGAGGAAACCGGAGGACCCGGAGAAAACCCACGAGGTTGGGCAGGCGACCCTACTCCGCATTGGCCGAGAAAGTTCATTGGGATTTGTCAGTGGTGACAAGGGACAGCGTGTAGTCGTTCGGGTGGGACGAAAATTCGAGGTCCTGTGTAACATTGGCGTGTACGTAAACGATCCCTTGGCAGTTTGAATTCGATATATGAGTAGGCCATAGCATCACTGTCCAGGCAAAATTTCCCGCATAGCACACTATATGGCGTATGCCCGTCTTCGTTAGCCCAGTCGAAGCAAAGCAGTAAGACATTAAACCCAATTTATTTAATTTCATTAAGCGACAACCATACATGTGGGCAATACCTGGGCATTCGAAAACACCCAAGATCATTAGGAATCGTCTTTAGCTCAATAATAATTACCTCTGAAAATCAGATAATAATACGATGATATATATGCTTATAAACTGAGACCAAAATATTTCTAAATCAATATCAGAATTGATCTGCACCATCATTACCAAACACAAAAGTAGGTCTTTACTACAAAAGAATAATTTAAAATCAGCAAATAATTAAACACTGTTGAGTGAGTACGATTCTGGAATAACAAAAACATTACCGTAGACAAGTGTGGTTTCGATTCGTCCATCAGTACAAGATTTGTGGATAAGCTTCATACAATCTGATTAAAATACAGATCTATATTTCGTTTCGTTTTTTTTTTAATAAAAGTAAAGTAAACGGAATTCTGAACTATATAAAACGAAACGAAATAGGATCTGTGTTTTAATCAGATTGAGCTTCATAGATGTGATATGGGAGTTAGTTCAGACAATTTATCCAACTGTCCTTACATATAAATTAAACTCCAATTGACACACTAATGTCTATTTAATGCTCCGTGGAGTCCCGTTTAATTAATTGATCCAGCAGCTGATCTTAGGTGATCCTAAATTGCAGCAACAGAAAAAAATAGGTCAAATACAAACCAACCATCTGAAATAGAAATTTAACAATTAATTTTAATGAAATCCGCTAATCGCCATTTTAACGATCTGTATTATTGAACAACCATGGTGGGTTATCATGGTCAATGATCTTTGTAACTGTCCAATTACTAATTGGGAGATAATACTGTTCTAAACTAACTGTTCTAAACTAGGAGCCACGGTGGCTAAGTGTAGGACGAAGGCTCGCTATCTTGGAGGTCGAGTGTTCAATCCCTGCTTTGGCCGAAAAAAATCATCAGGATCTTCCGACGTGGTTTCCCCCTTGTCAGTGGTGCAGGACGGACGGGGGACTGACAAGGACAGATGTCTAGTCGTTCGGATTGGCATCCACGTATAAGATCTCTTTGCGGTTGGATTTCGATATAAGAGTAGGCTATAGCACACTGTATGGCGTATGCCCGCCTTCATTAGCCCTACTTCATCATGTTGTTCTTGTTAGGGTGACCCACCATAAATAAATATCTCCATATATCTCGACAATTACGCCACAATATTTATATATATGCCAAGCCTCAAATCAGTTTCACACAATTATAGTCACTAAAAAAACGATCATGTTGTACTTAATAAGCTATGACCATTAATCATGTATAAATAATAGACTGAAAACTGGTTCCAAGAGTCGTCCATAACATCCAGACACTTTTGAGTAAAAGATAGGTTACGTGCCCTTGTTTTGAAATAAGTCTCGCTTAACCAGCCTATCGACCATTCTACGTCTGATTGACAGGTCGGGATAATCAAGACTACTTTTTTACGAAACATAACAGAAAGCTAAAACAAGAAATTGAATTTAGAAATAAGCACGTTAGGTAGCTCAACAATCGTTTTAAGAAGCTTGTAAAAGTAAAATGAAACTACTGCTAGTATCATGTTCCTGTCTAACCCGAGTGAATCAGAGATATTATTTGTACTAAACCAAAAGATGCCGCTCTTAACGGTACAGTTAATGATAAAGCGATTTAAAAATTGAAACGAACGTAATTTCTAAATCTGCTGTAATAACCAAGAAGCTTAATTTTACTGCTATTCAAAATCGTCAACAATAATTTTTTTACGGCTGTAATAGTTGATAGATTTGTAGAGAATTGCACGTGCCATGGCTATTTATAGTATCATACTGTCAGAAAGTTGGTCTCGGCACGGCGAATGTGCACGCTTCAGTGGTAGTCTCGAACTATCAGCGGTGGACTGTATTTCTGTGAGTACATGGGTCACCCTATTCTTGTACGCGGAGCTCTTCGGGAAAAGGGTCCAAGGCTCCGCCATTTCTTGTATGCTCGATATGACGTCACAACAAAGAATGAATGAATGAATGAAATATGGTTTTATGGCACGTCAGCTCCAACCGGGCTATATTGCGCCAAACATATGGTGAATCGGAGACAAATTAAAACAATATCACATAAATGAATTTATATATTTAAATAAAAACAAATATCACAGAAAATATATTAATTAAAAATAAATATAACAAATCTTTTACATATATAAATATTTAAAACGATATACATGATTTAAATATATACAATTAAAATTGATTATAAAAGTTTGTCTCTTTTAAAAATGTTAGCACTTTGTCATATAGCTCCGGTTGAGCAAATAGCTGACGTACTGACTGGCAACGGTAAGTCACAACAAAGAGTGTTCAGAATCTGTTCAAAGACATTGAACTCACCGCTAAAATAACTTCTTTTGTGATAGTAAAAAATCCCATGGCTGTAAAACCTATTGATGTACCAGTTAATTTAGACAGAAATAACGTCAACTGAAATATAATATTATAATTAAATATGGTAGTTAGACAGAAATATAATACTATAGTAGTTAGACAGAAATAATGTCTACTGAAATACAGTGTCTTAATGGTAGTATAGTATTTATTATATTCTTTAACAAGACGATAGTTTACCAAGAGGTAATACGTTTATTTTCGCATAGTATGCTCCTTGGTACATTGTCACGCCCGTCAAAAAGGAAGTTATATGGGCGGGGGTGGTTGTTCGGGGGCACACTATTTGCGGGGCTAAATCACGCTTCCCCCTCCCCCGTTGGCCCTGTATTTCAAAGTTTGCTGATCAGAGGTACAGTGTGTCCAGCACTCTATTCTTAGAACGGTTTTACTGCTTAGTATTGTATTACGAGTTCCGGTAAACACCCATTGAATGACCCAGTTTAAAGGATTCTTATTTCTTATAAGAAATTTATTGGTCTTCCTTGCACACGAACGTTTCCCCATATGTATTTCTAATAATCGAATAGTGTAGGTTTGCAAAATAATAACCTATACCTGACCCAGTCGTTCAGTTGACAACCCATCTGTTTCGGTATCATAGATGTGGTCTAAAGGTGAATGGCCCTACATAAAGATACCGATAAAAAGCATAATTAATTCATTATTGTACTGTATTTTAGTACCAAGAGTGATTGTGAGCCGTGGTTAATAAGCGACTAAAGCGCAGGTCGGCTAAACGGGTTCGATCGCATAGGTTTGGCGCAATATAGCCCGTTTGGAGATGACGTGCCATAAAGCAACTTTTCATTTTATTTCGATCGCAGAGGTGTGGCCAAATATATGCGAGGTACCTGGTACACGATGGTGAACAACTAAAATAACTCTTGACGGTAGCAATTTGAAATACGAGCAGGGATCGAGCAAGCACGTCTTCATTAACCCGGTTGGAGTAGAAAATTAGAATGAATGAAATGAAATAAAATGGAGTTTTATGGCACTTCAGCTCCTACCGGGCTATATGGTGCCAGACATATAGTCAAGGAATTAGAATGAGTGACATGAAATAAAATGGGAGTTTTATGGCACCTCAGCTGCTACCGGGCTATATGGTGCCTGGCACCTCAGCTCCTACCGGGCTATATGGTGCCAGACATATAGTCAAGGAATTAGAATGAGTGACATGAAATAAAATGGGAGTTTTATGGCACCTCAGCTGCTACCGGGCTATATGGTGCCTGGCACCTCAGCTGCTACCGGGCTATATGGTGCCTGGCACCTCAGCTGCTACCGGGATATATGGTGCCAGACATATAGTCAGGAAATTAGAAAGTTAAACCTTATTTAAATTGTGATGCAAAATTATAATAGTTTGCGTTTGCACTGAATGGGAGCGGAAACGAGTGCAAAATTGTAATAGTTTGCGTTTGCACTGAATGGGAGTAGAAACGAGTGCAAAATTATAATAGTTTGCGTTTGCACTGAATGGGAGTAGAAACGAATGCCATATTTGATAAGTGTGCTGTATTGGGCCTTTACTTTTGAGTCGTTTTTCTTTCTGTGGCCGCACATCACAGTGCAGTCTAAATGCTTAGAGTCAATTCGTAAAGACACGTAAAAATTACACAATAATCAATGCAGACACTTTATGAATTAGTCCAGTAACCCTTGCTGACCATGGAATAACAAGTGTACCAATTTTCTCCTATATGGTATCATCCGGATGTTAGTCTGCCGGGTAGCTGGTGTAGGTGGCACAGGCAGACTTAAGCAAAGCTAGTCTAGTTTTGGGCCGTGGCATTTTGGGCGTGTCTGTTAAGGGTTAGGCAGACGACAGTACTTCTTGTCACGTACAAGTGTGGGTTGGAAATGACTAAATGACATACTCCCACCAGCTCAAGAACAAAGACAACATCACAACAAAAGGGAACCAGCGGCTGCCAGGCAAGGATACGCCCACATTTTCGAGGGATGGATAGAGAACAAGCTAAAAAGAAAGTGATTTTTTTGTATAATCAGGGGCCTTAATTCAGGAAGTTACGGTCCGATATGCGCGAATATCGAAAGGGACCGAGATATTTGGGTTATAAACTTACATTTCAAGTTTCAACAAAATCGGATAACCAGCGGCTGCCAGGCAGGATACGCCCACATTTTCGAGAGATGGATAGAGAACAATCTATAAAGAAAGTGATTTTTCCTACAATCAAGGGCCATAATTCAGGAAATTACAATTCGATATGCGCAAATATCGAAAGGAACCGAGATCTTTGTGTTATAAACTTACATTTCAAGTTTTAACAAAATTGGATAAAAATTGTGACCTCCATAGGATCTACAACCTTGATATACCAAATTTTTACGCTATTTGAGAACGAAGGGCGGCCATTTTGTCTGTCAGTTTTGGGCCGATTTTCACGAAATTTGAACTCAGCCGTCCTTATGGTGTAACGGTGATATAATAATATATTTTCTTAAAATTATGACCTCTATAGGGTCCACAAGCTAAAAAGGCGATTTTTCACACAATCAGGGGCCATAATTCAGGAAGTTACGGTCCGATATGCGCGAATATCGAAAGGAACCGAGATCTTTGTGTTATAAACTTACATTTCAAGTTTCAAAAATATCGGATTAAAATTGTGACCTCCATAGGGTCCACAACCTTGATATACCATATTTTTACGCTATTTGAGAACGAAGGGCGACCATTTTGTCTGTCAGTTTTGTGCCGATTTTCACGAAAGTCGAACTCAGCCGTCCTTATGGTGTAAGGGCGATATAATGATACGTTTTTTTAAATTGAATAAAAATTATGACCTCTATAGGGTCCACAAGCTAAAACCGCGATTTTTCGTACAATCAGGGGCCATAATTCAGGAAGTTACGGTCCGATATGCGTGAATATCGAAAGGAACCGAGATCTTTGGGTTATAAACTTACATGCGACCTCTATAGGGTCCACAACCTTGATATACCATATTTTTACGCTATTTGAGAATGAGGGGCGGCCATTTTGTCTGTCAGTTTTGGGTCAATTTTCACGAAATCGAACTCAGTCGTACTTAGGGTGTAACGGTGATATAATAATACGTTTTTTTAAAATCGGATAAAAATTATGACCTCTATAGGGTCCACAAGCTAAAAACGCAGTTTTTCGTACAATCAGGGGCCATGATTCACGAAGTTACGGTCCGATATGCGCGAATATCGAAAGGAACCGAGATCTTAGGGTGATAAACCTATATTTCAAGTTTCATTGAAATCGGAAAAAAAATGTGACCTGTAGACTGTTCACAAACAATTGTGTCCGGACGGACAGGGCCGACGACAATATACGTCCACATGAAAATCTGGGCGTATAAAAATCACAATAAAAGACTATCATATTAAAGGAGCTACATCGCTAACATTTGAGACCTAGAAATTCACAAAAGTGGGTCGCAACGCATATAATACTGTAATATGAATGTATATAAACTGATTTACATTTAATGGTTTCCGTTTTTACTCCAATTTCAAATCAGTTATGTTCGGCGAAATAAGTCAGCAATCTCAATCGAGTGCAAATTTCTAGCGTCTAGTTATTCTAGTCTACATAACTCCATTTGATTTGGTGCAATGTGTCTAGCCTCGTCCCTTGAGTCTCTCCATACAACTGGGGCTGAAGCGCATTATGGTACACGATTCGTGTACCAATGTTAAAAAAAATTTTTTATCTTAAATATCGGATATCAGAAGCTCATCTTTTCCCGATATCAGAAGCTCATCTTTTCCCGGTAAGTTTACATCATCAATGTTGATTTAAATTGACCAATAATTCGTGTTTTCGATGTCGAAGATTTTGGAGGATTTTGAGTTACGGACTTAGGTCCTTTAAGCGATTTTAAACACAACCAATATAAAGCAAACTGGTGAAAACAAAGTACCCTAATGTAAAATAGTTTACTTACTGCGTCATTAACAACAGCAACAAACCAGGATACTGAACCCAGACCAAGATACGCCGTCAGCACCCACATCACCGTCATCAATGTGTTCAACAAAGTACCGCTGCTGTTGATCAGCTGATACATAATAAAACAAGCCAGAAAGATGTTTATACCCAATACATTCACCAACAGCATTCTCATAGGACGATTTAGAATGTCCACAAGATGGCAGAGCTCCAAATGCTTTCGTCGAATCATCTCCAATTTTTCCGGAAATACTGTAGGGTTTTTTTCGATCACACCTCCTATGTTTTTGGAATGAAGAAAAAATGCATTGGCGATGCTTTTGCTACAGATCAACACAAATGCGATACTGAAGACCCAAATGGCTGACAAGTATACGTGACACACAAATAGCATCAACTTCCATGTTAAGTTATTGGGCAATGGATTAATGAAGGAGTTGATAAAGTCAGCGTTAAAAATAAAAACCATTAGGAATATTCCAACACAGTTACAAAGCCATAATCCCCAAGAAAACACCGTGCATATTAGTGAAAAGTGACGCAGGTCCTTCAATAAGGATCCGAGACCGGTGCATTTTATATCCATGATGGCCTTGTTCCACAGCTTGAAATACGCACCAAATGTTCCATTACGACAGTAAAAAAGTATAAGGATAGCACTGAGGACGCCTTGAAAGGACCAGGTTGTGAAAATAACCTTGGGAACTGTAAAACCCGGTACAAAAGCGGCACCTGTCCAAAATCCGGGAATATGCCTCAGAGTACTAATTGTTAAACAGCCCAGCACAGCCCAGCAGTATATCTTCTGTAATGTGTTGCTATGGGTTTTCTTCTCTGCCGAAGATCCAAGGTGTTGGGTGTCCTCCACGCCTATCTTATTATTAGTGGATTCATAAAACAGGCCAAACAGTTTCAAGGACACCAGAATTGGTTTCATCGAGTCCTGTATTTTGTTCAGTCCAGGTGGATTAACAGGTTTTTCCATATCCACCGGCTGGGGTATCCTTGGTCTGTTAACACCGGCGATCATTCGGTTATGTTATCCTACTGACTGGCTGATTTATTCCTATATCACTGGTTATCCTACTCTAATACAATATCCAAATGTATCCTAATATAATGTCTAAATGTACTCAAACCTATCGGCTTTATCTTTTTATAGTAGACGTGTATTGTCGTGTTGATTTCCATTTGTTGCTTAATCATCAACCAGTGTAGTTATGTACTTATAGATATTGACAGCGATTCCCCCGGACAATTGCTACAGATATTAATTTTTACGAACCAACAGATATCGCCGATAATTTTGATGTGTAAACGAATACTGAACGTTGATGTATTTTGTTATCTAAATGATTGGAAATATTTAGCCCCAGGTTTGTGAAATAAAATGTTGTTTTGTGGCACGTCAGCTCCGAGCTGGCTTTATTGCATATATATATATATATATATATATATATATATATATATGTTAAAGCCAATGTCTACAATCAGGCAATGTGTTACACAATGCCTGAAATAACCAGTCAATGTGTACATTGGCTAATGAGGCCACTCACTGTGTACATTGCCTACAATGCCTGATTAATTAGCCCAATTATTGTACACATTGATTGTTGAAGAGCGATTATTGAGAAGACTAGATTACCAAGATACTTTAATAGGTTCTTTGTCGGTTAATATGATTAACTATAATCACCACTGCTCTAATAATTGATAACAATTAAGAATGGATTCACTACGTTCTTGGGAGGTATGCGATCTTGCAGTGCGGAGACATTGAGAAGTTGATCAAAAAGAGAAAACCAGAATCAGAATCTGCAGTGGGTTATTTCACCCATATTGATGAGATGTTTGACATCCTAAAGCGTGCCCACATATCTACTGGTCATGGAGGTAGAGACAAAATGGTGAAAGCATTAGTGAAATATGCTAACGTAACACGTGAGACTATTGAGATGTTCAAATCCCTTTGCATGGAATGTAAAAAGAAGAGAAAAAGAGTTACCACTAAAGGTGTTGTTGTGAAAACTATTATCTCCAAAGAGTACTTGTCCCGTGGACAGGTGGATCTTGTGGACACGCAGTCAATGGCCAGTGGGTCACAAAAGTGGACCACAAAACGATCTAACTCTCAGTTAAACATATAAGAAAAATTCAAGTATTAGAGAAAACACACTAAAAATTAAAATTATTTTGTTTTTCGTTAGATCTAAGTGAACCCTTGGAGGCGACATAATCAAGGGGTATTCGCAATACTGTCATGACTGATGCCAGCCTTTGGCAGAAGGTGTTGAATGCGAATACCGTTAGTTTTCAGCAAAAAAGATGTTCATGATATGGTGTTATGTGAAATATGATGCGGTAGGGGTACCATTTTTGTAGCATACTGCAGTGCCAGTTTATCACGTCTATCGTGCATTGAAGGCTCATGCGCCTCGACGTATAAACTTACACCATAGATGTACGGAATGCTCCTATACTGATTCTAAGTCCTTGGTCGTGTATGGTGTCGAGCTCTTTGAGATAAGACTCGCGGACAGAGCCATGCCCCCATGATCGAGTTCAGATCTTTTACGTGCATACTAATGCGTCCCATTCGTCCTGCACCATTAACAAGGGGGAACCACGCCAGAAACATGTTCGGCCAACGCAGGCCTGGGATCGAACACGGGACACCTCCAGGTCAGGGAGCCAACAGCCAGAATCACATTAAATCGATTACTTGAACTTCAGCTTTTGTCTGTATTTGCTGATTCTGCCCCCCCCCCACCCCAAAGGCAGGCAGATCAGGGCCCGATTCCTAGAAAATTCTTAAGCATTTATGTAAACTTACCTTATTTTGTGTTCCCAGAAAATTCTCAAGAACGTTATTAAGCGTTCCAAGAAAAAACTTAAGCACAACTACGTTCTTAAACATAGTCAATCTAAGCACAAGCCCCAAGCAAGGTATACGGCTTATGCTTACCAACCTTAAGTCTGTTTCTGCTTCAAAAAGATGGCTGACCGTAGAGTTATTCGACGGCATTTCCGACAGCTTTTGATACCAAAAAGACAGAGAAAATCCTTCCCCAGCAAAAATTAAGAATGCTACAGAAAATTTCGCTTCTACCCTGAAACCATTTTTTTTATTTGCCAATTAGTAAACAATAGGCTACAAACACACAGGCTACTTTAAGATCAGGCGCTCTCACAATTATTCAGTTAGTTTGTATGTGTCTGCTGTTTTTTTTATCTTGTGGCACATTTTATAGGTGTATAGGGGACATGTCAAATGCATCTAAATCAACCATATATATATATGACTTCAATGAAGCAGACGACAAATTTATGACGTAATTCGTATATCAAAGTTGTTTTTATGACGTTAAAGAGCATCGTAGTCTCAGTTTATGGTAAACTTTACCAGTCACAATGTGCTTAGACTTATACTTGACTTGTGCTTGCGTAAGAATGGTCTTGAGAATTTTCTAGGGACGGTATTTTTATAAGTTTCTTACGTAAGAAAAAGTGAAGCACGACTTTGTGCTTACTTTACGAATTTTCTAGGGGCCCAGGAGATTGAATACCTCTCAGATCGTAAAATAGTAATCAAATCTGATCAAGTACTAGCTTTATATTCAAATAGGGATTCTTTTTCTCTGTATATATTTAGTTTGCTTGTGTACACGAAAACAGCTTATTCATATTAGTACGAGAATGCGAATACCGAATGATGGAATAACGTTAGTTTTCAGCAAAAAAGATGTTCATGATATGGTGTTATGTGAAATATGATGCGGTAGGGGTACCATTTTTGTAGCATACTGCAGTGCCAGTTTATCACGTCTATCGTGCATTGAAGGCTCGTGCGCCTCGACGTATAAACTTGCAACAGAGATGTACGGAATGCTCTAAGTCCTTGGTTGTGTATGGTGTCGAGCTCTTTGAGATAAGACTCGCGGACAGAGTCATAGCCCCATGATCGAGTTTAGATCTTTTACGTGCATGCTAATGCGTCCCATTCGTCCTGCAGGCCTGGGATCGAACACAGGGCACCTCCAGGTCAGGGAGCCAACAGACAGAATCACATTAAATCGATTACTTGAACTTCAGCTTTTGTCTGTATTTGCTGATTCTGTTTCCCCAAAAAACAGATCAGGCGATTGAATACCTCTCAGATCGTAAAATAGTAATCAAATCTGATCAAATACTAGCTTTATATTCAAATAGGGATGTTGCGATTCTTTTTCTATGTATATATTTAGTTTACTTGTGTACACGAAAACAGCTTATTCATATTAGTACGAGCAAATGTATGTTGACTTAACACTCTAGTAGATATTGTTTCCTGAATGCAATTAACAGTCATATATTAATCTGCATCATGGAATACAAATGTTAATCACCCACTTTGAATGTTTTGGACACGATGAAGCTATTAGTTTTGAACACAAACCTTTTAACTTAAAGGGTGAAATCGGTTATTTTATAATTTAACCATTTCTACATTAAACGCAGGGATTAAATGGACACTAAAGTGGGTCTCGGCCACTAAACTGTCGGCTATAAAACAAAATTTTATGTAAGAACTGAAGTAATGACAGGTCTACATGATCGCATTGTTGATGTGTATTGATTCCAACTTAATGCAAAGATTAATTGGACACATTAAGTCGGCATATTCCACTCTACTCTCAGTTATAAAACAAAATTTCATGTAAGAACTGGAATAATGGCCGAGGTCTACATGCTTGATAATGTGTATTGATTGATATAGCTGCAATTATAAATGGATTCTATTTTTAGTTTTGCCCAGTAAAAGTGGTTGCTGTTGGTATAGATCTGTATCAAGTCAAGGGAGATATAGTCAGTCCAAATGGCACACTCTGTGAAGATGGAAAACAAGCCAATAAACGATTCCAGATACAGTATTCATGATATCTTAACCCCAGTGTTAAATCGTATGAAGATCTTCGGTATCTATTATGATAAAGACAATGCGAAGTTTGGTAAAAATCATACTTCGCCGAGGCTGGCTAAATTCTATAAAATATACTGTATGGCTGTTATTGTGTTGCTTTGGGCTGCTCTCTTCAGAAATATTCCATCGTTTTGGGTCGGTTTTGATTATCAACCAAACAACACCGTATACAGAGTTATCCGACAATGCTGGTTTTGGCAATGCGCCGTCACCGCTTCCGTATTACTATGGCACTGCCGGATAGGAACATGGAACTATTTCTACTGCGACTGGAACCAAATTATCATGAATAAGATCTGTTCCAAGTATATCAACAAGAAAACTGATCGAATGAGAAGAGTATTAAAAATAGTTGATACTTTGGCTATAATATACTTCCTTTTCATAGTCGTGTCCACACTCCTCTCCATTTTTTTGTTTAATGGTTCGGTGGTTATCAGCAGTCCATTTCCAGGAACCATTGAGATGGGTGTATTGTTTTGGGTGTTGGAACTCTTCGACGATGCTGCATGGATATTCCCTAATGTTTTCGTGATCGCGATCTGTTACAGTTTAGCACAGGCCTTCTCCATAGTAACCGAGTGCTTGCAAGATTCAATAAACCAGTGTGATACGTGTCCGGAGAATTTCAATAACATTCGTCAAATTCATTTGAAACTTTGTCGAATGGTGAATCATCTCGATAAACCGTTAACAATTTGGATAATCAATATTTGTGGATGTAGCGTGTTTCTCGTTTGCTTCATCTTGTATGATCTGGTGACAAGTGGACATAAAGATTTTGTAGACATAACTCTAAAATGCTCTTGGCTCAGCAATAGTATCCTTAGTATGTTTGTATTCTGTTGGTTTGTATCATCTGTAAATGATACGGTAAGAAACTAATGTGCACTTTTATAAGTTGGGTCGTTGCCTTTTGGGTTGTGAAAAGCCCCATGTACTTTCCTAATTCCTTTATTTATTCAAAACAATCAGGTGTTCTGGAAAATCCAAATACATGTACCATGGTATATTCACAAGAATTTGTCCATGGATGAATTTGCCTGTGAAAAAAATAAAAATTGGGTTTTATCTTTGGGGAATCATTCGCCGATTTGCTTGTGTCTTTTTCGTCATATTAGAGGACCATTTTCTGATTGGCAAAGTTACTTTTTTTTATTTGGGACCCCATCAAGCACTGATTTGCTATGCCATATGTTTGGCGGAGTATATCCCGGTTGGTGCTGACGTGCCATAAAACAACACTTTATTTCTGATTTGTATAAGCTTTGTGAATTGGTCATTTGCCGAAGGGGGTTTGGGTAGTGCTTGCGTGTTGCATCATAAAGTCTATCATTGAGTCAACTGGCGTGGTTTCTATTCCCGGTTGTACGTGACAAGGACTAGGATCGTCTGTCCAACCTCGTGGGTTTTCTCCGGGTCTTCCGGTTTCTCCCACTGCTAAAGACATCTATGCGCAATCGATTTATTGAAATAAAATTAAACCATGTTAGTCCCGAAATGACCTAGTTTGTGTCGAATGGACGTTAAACCCCATTTCTCTCTCTCATTTGTCGAAGAGCTTCGTTCTTTATTATATTTATAGGCTCATTCACCATTACAACACATCTATAAGATACAGACAGGTGGACTATCAACACAACAGCTAGGGCAAGTAAGTGTACCAATTAAGTGTACCAATTAGGAGATAACACTTCCTGTTTCGCATTTAGAGAGGTGTTATAGTCCAATAGACATTTCCTGAAATCATAAGGACCCAAGACGCGTTAGCGAAACAGGAAATGTTTATCGACATTGTAACATGCTATTTTAACATTTTAAAAGAAATTACTAAAACAGAGGGGTGTTATTGTTCAATCGACAGTGTCTAATTGACCTATCAAAACGCAAGATTCACCCTTAAGCATGTTACAGTGCTTAATATTGAGGTTTAACATTTCTGTTCAGTAAACAAATGGATGCTTCAGATCCCATTGAAAGTTCGTAGAATTGACTGCTTGTAGGGATAACAAACTAAGTCTTTGTAATGATGTACGGAAATATAGTCCAGTTGGTGCTAGTGTGCCATTTAATTTCTAACCCTTTCTTCCAGGTGACATTGTTTCTGTCTAAATTAACTGGTCCACCAATAGGTTTTACAGCAATGGGATTTTTGACTGTGACAAAAGAAGTCATTTTAACGGTAAGTATGCGATGTATTGTTGTTATATTTACCTTTTAATAAAATCATTTATTTTTGTGAAAATAATATGAAAAAAGCGAAATATTCCCAATGGTACATATCAAATGATTATATGTTTGACGTGCCATAAACTCCCATTTCATTTCCACAAATGGTTATTTTGAAATATAAATTTTATATTTAAATTGGAATACAACAGAATTATTCGATCCGACTCACTTTAATTTCGGAAACGTTGTTATCTGGAATATGTCAGAAATATTTTGCCCGTACGGTTTTTTCCACATACTCTTCTTGGAATACCATTTCCCAAGAGGTGGCTAAGTGTGTAAGACGCTAGCTCACTAGCCTGGAGGTCGGGTGTTCGATCCCTGCATTGGTCGAGAAAGTTCATCGGGATTTTCCGACGTGGTTTCCCCTTGACAGTAATGCACTGGGAAAGGCTTGACAAGTACAGTGGTTCGGTTGGGACGAAAAGTCGAGGCCCTTGTATACATGGTAGTGCACGTAAAAAATCCCTTGGCAGTTGGAATTCGATATAAGAGTAGACCATAGTGTCGCTGCCCGGGCAAATATTTAACTCGTAGCACACTGTATGGCTGTCTTCATTAGCCCAGTAGGGCGTTGAAGCCCATTTAAAGCCCAACTTTATCGTCAGAGCAAAGTCGCAATCCATTGACAAGTGGGAACGGCGCTTGAAAAATCTCCAAATATTTTAATGTCTTGACTGAAAATATAACATTCAAAATGGGTAATGCCTTTGTATATTTCTGCAAGCGGCTATAATTGCGAATTAATTGTTAAATTTCTATTACAGATTTTTGGTTTGTATTTGACTTATTTTTTTCTGCTGCTGCAGTTTAAGATCAGCTAGAGTACTACCATTGGAAAGCTTACCTATAAAAGAACACCTTTATCAATATATTATCCACGTTACAGATGATCGAAAAGTCGGACAGTTCTTTAACAAGAAAACAAGATCTTAATAATTATATTGTTATCGTAACATTTAAAGCTCCATTAATACAATTCCAGGGTTTGTCATTTACAGGGACATTAACGTGTTCTGTTAGCCTTTGAAGTACGAATTTTGTGTTGCGTTCATTTTACAAATTGTACGTTCTTTTGTTAAAATGTGTGATGGTCATCAACTACTGGTTTAAAATCGTCATATCAGAGAAAGAGAGAGGGGGGGGGGGCGAGAGAGTTAACGTCCACTCGACCCAAAAACTAGATCATTTCGAAACTTATATGGTTCAGTTTTATTTGAATAATTCGCCTGGGCGTAGGGGTCTTTAGCGTGAGGGAAATGGGATGACTAGGAGAAAACTCGCGATGTTGGACAGGCGACCTTACTCATTGCCACGTTAATTGGATGTTAAACCCCATCTCTCTCTCTCCCTCTCTCATTGTCACTTACACGCCTGGAATCGAAACCACCCCAAACAGACCTTTCGCTCTGAGGCCCACAAGTTAAACCATTCGCCCCACATCCTCCTATGAAGACAGTTTTCGGTTCCAAAACCCATTGTTACAGAATACGAAATAGACATTCCAACCTCTTTAAAACTGTAGCATCGTGTATTTAAAACCATCCAAACTCACCACTATTTCAACTCGTATCAGATTAAGAGTTATCCTAGGAGGCGTGGTGACTCAGTGAGTAATACGTTCGCCGAGGAGGTTCGTCGTTCCCTTTTTGTAATGGTTTGGATGGTATGAAAAACCGAGGTCCCATTTTAGTGACATTACTTTTCAGATCACTTTATGTCGTAGGCAGGGGGCATAACTCATGTATAAGGTTGTAGGGATCAGGCCTTGGTTATTTTAGAGCTTTCTAAGGGGCATTTTACGATATCGAATCTTTTCAAACTAGACCCAAATCGACCAATATTACACTTGCTATCACAATAATAGCTAGGATGTTTACCATTTTTTGTGATAATGTCGGACGTTCATTGACAGTCCCGCTGAAGGGACAAAACTAAGTGTCAATAGGGGAGGGGGGGGGCGGGGGAGGGCGCATTTCAAGTTTGCGATTGGCCTCTTTAATTTTCCCGGATTTAAGCCCGACACCTTTAACTTCAGGCCATGTTTTTATATTTGGTTTTTGTTGAGGAACTAAATAATTAACTACAAGATGGTCGATGCAAGTTTTTATTGTATTTCAAATGGTACAAGTCAACATGGATTATTTTCTTATGATAGGTTCCCGCTATCACGATTCCCGCTACCTACGAATCTAAGATTGAAATCGTGGTTTAAATCGCGGAGTAATCGTGGTGATCCTATCAGGTCTTATCATATATTGAGGCCAGTCGTAGCAATCGTGTTGACCACACCGAAACGTATCTGAACGTATCTACACGTACCAGATCGTGGACTAAATAGGGAAACATGAAATGAAATGAAATGGGGTTTAACGTCCTACTGTTCTGCTCCGAACTGGGCTAATGAAGACAGGCATACGCCATACAGTGTGCCATAAGGGAAATTTTGCCCGGACAGCGGCAATACGGCCTACTCTTATATCGAATTCCAACTGTCAAGGGATCTTTTTACGTGTACGCCAATGTGTACACGGGACCTCGGTTTTTCGTCTCATCCGAACGACTAGACAGCTTTCCTTGTCAGGCCCTCCGTCCTGCATGACGGACAAGGGGGGAACCACGCCGGAAAATATGGATGAACTTTCTCGGCCAATGCAGGGATCGAACACCCGACATCCAGGCTAGCGAGCCAGTGTCTTGCCCACTTAGCGAGCGTGACCCCACTCAATAGGGACCATACTATCGTAACGTATCGCACCACAGTGGGAATCTAGCATTACCACGGAGTAACATACAGAAAAGCAGATTTTTAATTATTTTACAAATTTACTATAACACAACTACACTGTAAAAAGTTTATGTGAAAAAACACGAAATTACTGTGAAATAATACAAATTCACTTGTTAAAAAACATTGCGATGTAAATTCCCGCGATTATCCTGTTTTTTAACATTTTCGTGAAATTTCAACTTTTAACAGTCGTTAAAGTGTTAATTAACAGTAACTTAATGTGAAATAACAAGTTTGCTGTAATTTCACAGAAGGCTGTACTTTTACATGGAGAGGTAGATCTTTAGTCGATATGACAATTTAGTAGGCCCTATCTATTGTGCCTTTACCACGCAAAATAACCAAACAGGGAGGATCATAACGGTTTCTCACGAGAATATTTTTAAAGTATGCCAGGATCAAGCAATTATACTTTTATAAAATGTCAATACAATTAGAATGACTGGAAGTTAGAACATATTGACTTTTGACTAAATTCCCCCTTGGAATTTTTATCATACCTATAATATGTATGCACAAATAAAAATGACGGCAGTTCGGGCTTTTGAATAATACTCTGACCATAGAAAAGAGGGACATATTACAAATGATACTTAATTTGCAATGAATGGCGGCAACAGGGAAAGGGGGGGGGGGGTGTAGGAAAAATGTCACCGAAAAAAATAGCACCGGAAGACATGGCACCTGGAAAAAATGTCACCCGAAAAATAAAATAGAATCAAAAAAACATTGGATACAGAGATAAGTAATCGAGAGAGTCACGCCTGGCGGCGTTCCTACTCACTGTGATGTATGTATACACCCTTTTTCCGGTTGCGGCATTTTTCCGAATGCCATTTTTTCCGGGTGCCATTTTTTCCATATCATTTTTTTCCGGTGGCATTTTTCCGTACCCCATGAGTGGGGTGTTGTACATGAGCGTTGTACCGATTTTTTGGCTCAAAAACCCCAAAAGGGGACGATTTTCAGGCGTTGTACCGACTGTGTACCCCCACCCCCTCCCCGGGCCTCCCAACCTCAAACCCTCCAGTTGGCGACGCCCATGCTTCAGCCAAAAATAACAATGACGCAATCTAGTGGTCGTGCAAGTTCGCAACACGTGACTGAATTTCACGACATGAATTAGTCAACGTTAACGAGTGAAACTCATCTGAATATCAAAATCAGCTGTAGTTTTACACCTTATTTGATTCCTAAATAGATCAATAAATATAGCTTACTCATACTGCCGATAGAAATAAATAATCGGAATTTTTCGTTTTGCAGCCTTGACGCGACCATTTAACGGCAACCGTCTATTCGCGCCATTTCGCTAACATGGCCATAACCCAACTGTAAACATCAACATCAAATTCACAGTACCAGAGTAACCAGAATTACCTACCAGTCGGTAAGTCGTCCAAGCATAAGAATTTGATTGACGACGAATTCGTCTGAGCCTCTCACTTACATAAATTAGAACTGCTAGTGCCTGTCTGTATACTACAGAGTTGTCTTTGACTCTTTCCCCATCCCTCAAGATTTTAGAACGAAGACCGCATGGCAGATGGCTGACGCCATAATGATGATGAGGCAAGACCAGTTGGAATTGAATAGAAATAGTGTTTTAAATGTCCTATTTTTCTCTACCTTATGGGCTGGTGAAAACGGCTATATTAAATTTATATACGTACTGTAGAGGGTTCACATGAAATTTTTAGGGGCGTCAATATTTGTCAGTCTACAAACAGTCCAGACTGATGACACCCATTTTAGATTAACATTGCAATATGGTGGACTTGAGACTGCCTGCTGTTTGAAAAAAAAATATTATAAAATGGTAGGCCTACATAAGTTTTGTTATATACCGGTAGGCCCTACTCACATTTCGTACAAAAAATAAATAAAGTTTGAGTACGAAAAAAAGGTGGTATCAAGAATGTAAGTGGTATGAAATTATCCGTTTGCCATGTCAGCCGGCAAATTGTCACCCCAAAATTGGCAAATACCTCTAAAAGTAACTGAAATCTACACCAACTGTTTAGACCTTTTCCTTTTGTTATTATTTTGACTATTGATAGATGAATTTCAAACTTGAAATTTCAATATTTAAAAAAATTTGTTCTATAAACTGGTTTAACCCTTTCGGTCCTGAATTGTTTAAAACCAATGCACGCTCCCGACCTGAATTAATTTTAGAATTGAGACCTAAAAATTTCAAATGAAACTTTAATACAGAAGCAATGATGCAAACCCCAAACATGAATTGAATTTATTTTAGCATTTAGTCTGATTTTTCAGAAAATGTAATTTGTTTTCATATTTACTCCCTTGAAGCCCGGTTGAACGGACCGGACCTCCACATTTTTCGCAAAAAGAGTGTCTGTGAATCTGTGGACTGTGCACCCATTACGCAGGATCAACAAGGTCTAGTACAGAGTTATTTATGACAAAATTACCGTCTGTTTATACTTCAAAATCCTTGTTATCCGATTCATTATCCATAATAATTTCACCCAAGTTTTCCTCTAGAGTCATGTACGCCATTGACGTAACGTCATCATAAACAATGCAGAAAATTCGAAGTTTTTTAAACTGAAGTTTGCAAGTTAATTTTTCTTAATCTCGATAACTATAAATAGAACATAATATGTCGACCGGAAACAGGAGAAGCCAAGCTTGCTTACATAAATCATGGACTCAAATCATGAAAAAACAAAGGTTTTGTACAAGAGGGGTCATATCGATCTGGTTGCGAGAGAGGTTTTTGCGTCTGGTCCAAGAGAGTTAAATTGTTGTGAGGTTGATGGATTTCCAGTCTCAAGAATAATTGTGATATTGACATCCAGTCTTTTCGAAATTGAAAACGGCTAACTTGCAGAACAACTTTCTTTAAATATTGAAGTTAGGAAATTTTAATTTTGAAAATCATCTATCAACAGTCAAAGTAATAACAATTTTAAGGTCAAATCAGTTTTTGTAGATATCACTTACCTTTAGAAATATTTGCCAATTTTAGGGTGACACTTTGAAAAAATCAGACAATAAATAATGACTCTATGAGGCTAAATTCTTCTTTTTGATTTCTAGTCTCGGGACTGAAAATAAATTTCGGCCATTCCC